GCCAGGATCAGATGAAAGGGAAGGAAGGTCCTCCCCTATCAGTTGCCTGGGGAAGGGGCATGGGGGGAGATGAGAGAGGGAGGGAGGGTGGGATTGGGAGGGGATGAGGGTGAGGTTACAGCTGGGATACAAAGTGAGTAAATTGTATAAATAAAAAATTATCTTTTAAAGAAAAGCAGATGCTGAGACTCATAGCCAAACTTTGGGCAGAGTGTAGGGAATCTTATGAAAGATGGGGAAGATAGAAAGACCTGGAGGGGACAGGAGCTCTACAAGGAGAGAAAAAAAAAAAAACAAAAAAAAATCTGGGCACAGAGGTCTTTTTTCAAACTGATACTACAACCAAGGACCATGCATGGAGATAACCTAGAACCCATGCACAGATGTAGCCCATGGCAGCTCAGTCTCAAGAGGGTCCCTAGTAATGGGAACAGAGACTGTCTCTGACATGAACTCAGGGCATGGCTCTTTGCTCACCTCTCCCTGAGGGGAGAGCAGCCTTACCAGGCCACAGAGGAAGACAATGCAGCTAGTTTTAATGAGACCTGATAGAATAGGGTCAGATGGAAGGGGAGGAGGTCCTCCCTCATCAGTGGACTGGGGGAGGAGCATAGGAGAGAGGGTGAGATTGGAAGGGGATGAGAGAGGGGGTTACAGCTGGGATACAAAGTGAATAATCTGTAATAAATAAAAAATACATATTTTAAAAGAAAAATAAGCAAACTAATGGTGTGGCTGCAAACATCTCTGGGAGAATTTTAAATTATAATGAGTAAAGTTTACTCTGGATCACCTCAAAACAATATGTAAGAATGACTCAGAGCTTTTGGCTGGTCCTTGGACATTTCTCTGAAAGGCCAGATCAAGACAAACTAGAACAAAACACCATCTCTAAACGCACTTTGAGAGACATTTAAAGGAGCAGCAAACTTTACCTAAAGTATAGCAACTTGCTCCTAAAAGTGCCTAGGACAATCTTCCCACTTCAGAAGGGAATTGTATTTGTTACGTTTTCCTAAAGCTTCGTTACATTTTTTTTTTTTCCTGCAATCGCTTCAGATCTAAAAGTCTGGAATCTGGGCTGGAAAGATGGCTCAGTGGTTAAAAGCATTGTCTGTTCTTCCAGAGGTCCTGAGTTCAATTCCCAGCAACCATACTGCTCAAAACCATCTATACTGGGATCTGATGCCCTCTTCTGGCATGCAGGTGTACATGCAGATAGAGCACTCATATATGTAAAATTAATAAATAAATCTTAAAAATTAAATAAATAAAAGTCTGGAATCTTCTCTGCAGGGTTGCAGGCAAAGGGTTTTATCAGAAATATCCAAAAAGTCATGCTATGAAAGGATAGGAGACAGTATAAAAAAGATCTTGCCACAGGGGAGTGACTTCCTCCCTTTAGCTCATATTTCTCTCCTTTAAGTGCGGCTTTCCAGATAGCTAATGCAGTGGAGAGCAGGGGAATTCCAAAGTACTTCCCAGACTAAACACATGAGTCCATCACCCACTGCTTATAAACAAAGGCCCAAAACATCAGTTGGATTTATGTTAAATCAATAAAGTCTGTCCCTCATCATCCACTTGTGTCCATCCTACAGCCTTCCTTTAGCCAGTTAATTAAAAAGCAAACAAACAAACATCTTCACCTTTCTTCCCTGTCTCACTAACAACGCAGAAGACCTTTGCAGAAGGAAGACAAAGAAGAAGCCTCATTTCATTCCCCAGTCTCTCCCAGACCAAGCAAGCCAGAGACCCAATCTCTAAGGAGTGCCTTTAAAAAAAATGAATAGAACTTCATTTTTGGCCTAAAAACCAAGTGGGCCTCCTGTCTTAGTTTGCTTTCTGTTGGTGTGATAAACACTGACTTACAGTAACCTGGGGAAGAAAGGGCTTATTTTATCTTACAGGCTAAAATCCATCACGAAAGGAAACTGGGGCGGGAACTCATGAACAAAGCCTAGAAGCAGGAAATGAAGCAGAGGCCGCAGGCAGGCACTACTTCCTGCTTTGCAGCTGCTCACCCTGCTTTCTTATATAACCCAGGAACACCTGTCCATGGGTGGCACTGCCAACAGTAGGGCCCACCCTCCCACATCAATCATTACTCAAGAAAATGCCCCATAAATTGGCCTATAGGCCCATCTGAGGGAGATGTTTTCTCAGTTGAAGCTCCCTCTTCCCAAATGACTTTCCTTTGTGTCAAGTTAACACAAAAACCAACCAGCACACCCTTTAATAGCCAATCTCTGTGCAAGCTGGTATCTGATCCTGATGTTAGAGGACCCAAGAGCCAGTGGAATAACACAGAAGGAAAAACAGTAAAAGGGGAAGGGTAAGAAAGACGAGGAATAGAAGGAGGAACCCTTTCCTGTTTATGCCCTGTGGGTTTAAATACTCTGTTAAAAACGCTATATACAAACAAGCTAGAGAGAGTTTTCAGGACTCCATAAGGAACTCGGCATCATTCCTGTCAGTATACACAATTTTACCAGCAAGGTGGGACTTTATGAAGAGAGATGGATGCTGGCTTTTTCAGTAGGAGAGGGGTGGTGACATGTGATAGTCTACAGAAAAGAAAAACATTGCCAAAAAAGCTTCCATATTCTTCACCAAGGGGAGGTGGGGGTCCACAGTATGACAGGTGCAGGGGACAGGGAGGGGCCAGATAGGCAGGAAGCCAGCCTCCCCCAAATTGTAGAAAATGTGTTAGGGGAGTCTGACACAGAACACTTTGTGCAAAAGCAACCAAAATAAAAGCCAAACAAACTGACATTTGATTTCCAGAATGAAAAAGCAAAGATTTTTTATCCAATCCTGGCTGCATAATACCAGGGTAGAAACACTGAAACACAAATTAATACCACTGGAGTGAAGGAAGGAGATAATGACTCCTTTCACTTTGACTTTGACTCAGCTTTGCATGTGTTTCTTCATACCGGCACTGAGTGAGACGGGCTGGGGAGATGGCTCAGTGGTTAAGGGTGCTTGATGCCTTTTTAGAGGACTGGAGTTTGGTTCCCAACACCCACAGGGTGGCTCACAAGTACCTGTACCTCCAGCTTCAGTGAATCCAGTGCTGGCCTCTGGAGACACCTGCTCTTACCCGTGCATGCACATACAGAGAAACAATTTTTTTTTAAAAAGAGTCAAACAAGATATGAAATTCAAGTGGTCCTAGTCTACTTCTGAATTCCTCCCATGAGGCCATCTATGTGACACCTAATACTGTTAGGTTACACATCCTGTAGACAAAACTCAAGCCATGCTACCTGGGATCGATCCCCACACTTGGCAGCTATAGAGAGCTGCCATGACCTTGGCAAAGACTCAACCCAAAAAATTGAGTCTTCTCCATCCCCCTTCTTACTGAAAGCAATCCCAGCTGCCCCTGATCCCCAGAACTAAGACAACCTTGAATTGTATGTACAGCCGTCTTACCTTATGACTTTCGGCATGGAGGCTAGATCACATGGTATGAAACTAAAGCCCCATCCTTGAAAATCTCTAAGTGCAAGAAACTCCCTTTGTCCTATGGAACTGAAAGGCTTGTCTCTTCCTCCCAGACCCCTTCATGCAATTATGGGATGGTGCTATCAGCCCCCTAATACCAGGAACTAAAGGGAGTTGTATGTTATTTTCCTTCAGGATTTCTATCAAGCTACATATGGCAGCTATCTCTTAATGCCCTCCCACTTGAAGGCTTCATCATGGATGTCTATGGCTATACTCCTATAGTTCTCCTAATCAAGCTCCTTTGATGGGTAACTTGTCTCACCTTCTTTTCTATGAACCTCCAGGTTTCCTCATATCTCTAATACATGCTAGTACCATAGCATCCTGGGGTATAACCTCACAGTGCACCACATTTCCTGCCCCTAACAGCTTCATTATTTCAGTGAGCAAGACGTGGTTTCTATTAAGTCTTTACCCTCCCTGATTGGAGTTTCTCCTTCCTTTGCCTCATTATCTCCAGAGCCACCCCCAGGCAGCACTTATGACAAACTGGATATTGGGGTTTGTCCTATCAGGACTGTCCTGTGGTGCAACAGAATTACCTACAGAAACAGAAATGTCAGTATCTCAAGTAGTAGAGGCAAGGCCCTGCTTTCAAGGAGAAAGAGTAGTTAAGAGGATGGGAACCCCAGAAGCCCCTTCAGTGTGACAGTATAATGACAGTTACTGAACAAATTCCTCTGAATTAAAACATTCCATTCTTGAGCATAGCTTATTAAGACCCCAAAAGTCCTAAACTGAGGCTTGCTAAGAATAGAGAAATAAACAACTCAAAACTCTCAGGGAGTTCCAGAAACTTACATGGCCCCACTCTCCCTAAGATTATATAAGCAGGGAGGATCACTGAAGATGCTTAGATCAGCCAAACAGCCTAGAGAAGATACTTCAACTCATCAAGGTTATACAGAGAAGTTATACAGAGAACTTCAGGATTCCAGATCTTATAAGTTGCCACATAAAATAAAATAAAATAAAATAAAATAAAATAAAATAAAATAAAAT